GTTTTTTCTCATCCCCTTGGGAAACTGCAAACCTTCTCTGTGCTAGAAAACTCATCCTCTGAGGAGGGAGGAGGAGGAGGGAATCTGTGTGAAGAGTCTGAAAAGTAAATGGCCCCGTGTTTTAATTTTCATGTATTATTATACCTGCCCATTTGTCCGTATATATCGATCTTAGATATTCTAAGGCTCTGTAGGAGTGAGTGTGAATGCATACCAGCCTCTGCGTGATCTGCCTCCTCTTCCACGGGCCGGGCAGGAGGTGAGTGCAGTGATTTGGCGCTGTGTAATGACAGGACTTCACCCTGCTCTGGGGGAGCGGTGCATTTAGAGAAAGAAGGCTCCTTCCTTTGGACAGGCAGCGCTGGCAATTAGTTGACATCAGATTTCTTAGAAGTCTCTTAACGGTGATTTTTTGTGACTTTGTTCTGCATGATTGGCTCAAATGTGTTTTGGGGGGAAAACCATTTGCTCTGTGTCCTGGCCCTTTGTTAAACTCTAAGGTGCTGTTTTAAGATGACGATTCTCTCTTTTCTCAGCCCAGAATTCAAGCGTGGACTGTAAAAGAGGCTGTAGTAAATGTAGAACCTGGCCGGTCTGGTTCGAGATTTGATCATTTCCATCAGTACTACAGCTGAGTTGACTTTGTTTCTGCGGTTTATTTTTTGAGACCAGACTTGTAATCAGAAAACCAAATTCTTTAACCTGTTGGCTGCTAATTACACATAAAAACAAAAAACACAAGTGCAGGCTATGCAGCTAGCAAGGTGAAGTGTAACAAAGATTCATCTGGTGCTGGGAAGGACAAGAGAGTGCAGGGAGTCCAGGCTTGTTTGCGAGGCCACCAAGATGGAGGCGTTGTCCCTCAGAGACCAAACAGAGCAAGCTGTATGCATTGTGCAACTTAGGTTTATGATTCTGAGACATTTCTCCGAAGTTACACCTGGTGAATGTGTTCTCTGTCCCGTGAGATGAGGAGAGTCATTGGCTGGCACCGGAGCTTATGTGAGACCAGCTGTGCCGCTACGGACGCGTGGCGTCGCTGCAGACAGGGCCGTCAGACCACTGCCTTACCTGAGCGCGGCGCCCTGGTGAGCAGCAGGTCTTCCCACGCGCAGTCGGCTGCCCGCCCTGACGCCGAACGCCAGGCTGCCAAAGCTCGGTGCAGGCAGCTCAGCGCTGCGGCGCCCCCGGTGTGGGACGCGGGCACGGCAGCGTCGGGACGATGGAGCTGCACGCCGTGCAGCTGCGCTTCAGCCTTGGTTCTTCATGCAAATCCCACCCCGCCACACCGTAACAACTGACTGTAGGTTCTGAAAACCAGCTCCAGCTTCTGCTAAAACTTAGACCGTGACTGTGGTATGCTGCCTTCCAGAGGCTAAGTGCAGCCGCCGAGGAGTTTGCCAAAGACTTGCCCTTATGGCTGCCTGACTGCTGTTTGCAGCCAGAAATACAACCAAAGTTCTCTAATGCTGCCATTTCGCTCTGCAAACAGAAAGGCTTTGGAAGATCCTGGTTGCAAGCTGCGAGGGCTGGACCTGCTCTGAGCACTGGCATCTTTGTGTTTACAGCGTGTCTGCAATTCAACTGGACCTCCTGGAATGTGTTCTGAAGTTTTAAGTGTTAAATGGCCACGCGAACTGCCTCTTTTTCCCAGAGGTTAAATACTAATCAATGTGACTGACTCCTGTTCTGTTACCTTTTCAGATTTATCCCAATAGATGGTGTCTGACAAGTCCAGCACATTACAGTATCAGCAGAGAGAAAAAAAGTAACATCTCCATTTAGTTCATCACTTTCAGCCACATATAATTATAGTTTAATTCAGAACTTTATTTTTTCATTAAAACTGTTTTAATGAACCATGTTTTTTTTTTAAAGTGAAACAAATGAATAATGACTTTGCTTTACTCTGGATTCAAGAGTCTGCTAGTATGATTTACTGGTGTGCAAAACAGTTGTGCTGGGTGGCAGCAAGACTTGGATCACCTTAAAAACTGAGTCTCTGTTGCTTACAGCTTCTGTTTTAATTGTTGGTGATGTGTAGAGCAACGAACAGAAGTCCCAGAGGAGGCTGCAGCTGTAAGATGGCAGTTTCTCACAGAACAAAGTTGTTAAAAGGAGCAGTTTCTCAAGTAGGGCTATGCTCACAGTCTATTTAAGACTTTGCAATGATTGGCAGAAAATGAAGAAGAGAGGAGGAAGGCTGGAATTTGGTATTCAGCAGGAAAGAAAGCCTGAAGCTGGGGTGTAAGGGAGAGAGGCGGGCAAGGGGCTCCACCGTGTGGACGCAGCTCAGCAGTGCCTGACTTGCAAACCGCAGGGGAGCAAAAATGGAGTTTGCACGTTGACTGCTGTGGAGAAGAGCCTGCTGCAGGAGCTGTGCCTCACGGATGGGAAAAGCCACTGGTAGTGCTTTCATGGAAGGGAAAAACAGAAGTCTGAATCTTCGGTGGGCTGATATGGCAGGGAAAAGAAACCTTAGTAAACACTTAGCAAATGAATGGGGCGAGATCTGTGTCAGTAATTTTACTTCAAGAATTATGAAATCAAGAGATGAAAATTAAGATTCACCTGTCCTTTGCATGAACTGCTTTACAATTAGACAACGATGGTTCTGATACGGTGGGGGAAGAAAGAATAGAGTGGGAAGGCAAAGGAACTGAGTTTTCTTTGCTAAGCTGTAATGAAAAAGAAAGCATCTGCTTGAATCTAAGCCCTGCCAGGGCAGCTGAGCTGTCCTCAGGTATGAATGCTTGGGGTGACTCGCAGCAGGGGAGGCTGATAAGGCTTTCACAGCACAAGTGGTACCCAGAGCTGCGACTCCTTGGAGCGGCCATTGGCTGAATCATACTGCGACAGCAGGAGCTGAGGGCTGGCACAGAGGAGCATGGAAAGGAAGACAGGGAAGATGACAAAAAGTAAAACCTTGATCTGCATCTCCAGCTCAGGAATTCCCAGTTCAAAGGCTCAAGATCAGGAGGCCAGCACGCAGTCACGGATCCTCATGAAGGTATTTCAAACCCTATTTCAAATCTTTCGCTCCGCTAGCTCAGTTAGCAAAGGATGCACTCACTCAGGTATCTGGCATTCTGGTTTGCACCCAAAGGTGCTCACTACCCTGTTACTGCATGTCAGTAAGTAATTACACCATAATTACATTACTGCAGTACATCCATGACTCCATTACAGTAAGGATGTACTTCACAGCTCAGAAATGGCCTCTGTTCCAGGTGCTGTAATGCCACAGCTCATCTTCACAGCCTGAACAGGTTTTACATTCACACTGCTATTTCTCTACACTTTTAACATAGACAAAAAGTCACTTGAATGACAACAGGAACTGGAGCTCAGGAACTTGTCAGAAAGAAATATTGTTTTATTGTGCAAACTTTTCAGTGTATTTGCCCTGCTAGTTACAGGAGCATGCTTTTTCTTTTTACTTAGCAGTAAGTGTGCTGGCACTTGGTTGCACTTGCCACTGCAAAGCTCCAACTTCCCAGCACTGCCACATGGAGCAGTTTGTTACATCCCAGTCGACACAGAACAACTCTCACTGCTGCCCACTTCAGGCCGACACAAGACATGAAAGAGGCAATTCTGGTGGCATTTCTTGTCCCTGTCAACTAGCAGTGGGTATAAAGGACCACAAAAGAGCAGGAAGCAGAACATAACAAAGGGTGCAGTTAAATTCATAGAAGTTGCACCCCTTACGTTATGGAAGGAGTTTATTTTCAATGCTGCCCAGAAGATGAGAATGGGACAGGGGCCAGTGCTCAGCTGAACATAATTTATTGCACATTTTACATTTAGTATCAGAAAAAAACAGAACATTGGTCATACGTGAAATAGAGTCCTACACCAGGAACTGGTTGCAACTGAAGAGCCTTGTTTTACTTTTACAAGTGAACACTTAGTTGTATGAGCTTGTGTTGGAGGGAGAAGTTCCTTGCAGCCTAGCTCAAATGAGTCTGGTTTTAGAAACTTAATCTTCCTGTTAAATGCCCTCCTGCATGTCATCTTAAGACCATGACTGGAGCAGAGAATGGTGCTCCAGAAAAAGGGGTCAGGTGCACATCAGGAAGTGATTTATGGTAATGCAACAACACACAGCCAAGACCCTTTGTTTCCTGTCTCTCCCATGGAAGCTGCCCTAGGATTCACTGAGAGCAGGCTGTTTCTGAGCCACAGCTCTGATTATTCCTTTTCTCTGTAAGGAAAGCACCACAAAACTCCCACCAGAACTGGAATAGCACACGGCTGCCACTTCCACCTGCTGTGTCACGAGAACAGCACTGCCCTTTCTGCTGGTAAATTACCAGCACAGCTTCCATGCAGGACAAATCCAACAAGCTTACCTCACATCTGATGCTGCAGCAGAAGTGGCAGCTGAATTCAGGGTTTTCAGCTCTTTTCCCCATTTTGTGCCACTCCTCACTTTGGTCTGGTTTACTCCTATGAACCACGCTCTTTTTTTCCTAGAACTAAGATGAATTGCTGTCCTTCCCCCCCCCGCTCTGCTTTCCTGGTCTCCTGAACACCTTGACAGGAAAATGAATTAATAAGACAATTATACCCAGTGTCCTTGTCTGGTAGAGCAGTGTTTGAAGTGAGCAGCTGAATGGATTCATAGGGAAGAGGTCCGTGTCATTACAAAAAGCAAAGAACTCCGTTCCAAACATACTTGTTCTTAACAAGTGCATTTCAAATACAGAATTAGGGTGGAAAACAATCTCTGCCCTCTTTCCAATGAAAGGATTTACACAGAAAACTCCCAGGAGGTGGCCTTAACAAAGAATTTTCACTCAGGTGTGGAAAAAGGCATGTTACCTACCTCAGTAAGTACATGAAGTAGTAAGAACAAGTCTTCTTTCTTGCTAAGTACAGAAGGCTATGTGAGAATGCACAAACAGACTGGGCCAAATTGCTGCAGGAAAGATTTGGCTGCATGATGGGTGGTGCTCAGAGCCTGCTCACACAACCTCAGCAGAAAGTAGTGCACGTTCAGAGTCACATTGCTTTATTGATTACTGAGCCACAATTGAGAAGTATTGCTTTGAAGCCACCTCAGGAAGCAGGTTCTCTCATTTTTGATCCTAACGTGACTGGTAGCCACCACCTGCTATACAGATAAAAATAAAAATGTCTCTTGTTCAAGCTTGTAGCATCTGGGGGAAGGTTCTGCTGTCTCCGCTGACCCAGGTACTGTAACAGACGTGCAGCTCTCATCAGATTTAGCCATCTGCATCGATTCTGTGAGCTGTTGAATGAGAAGAGTAAATGGATACACGCCACTCTCATCATCCTTGCTTGAACTTAAAACTACTGCACCAGGAACAGACAAACAATTCTGGCCAGTAATTAAACGTGGTTCATTTACAACTGCACTGTCCTTATGACAGATCTGTAAACTGGATACACTCCTCCAATTGGGCCGTGGAAGTGGCCTGGAGTTCACAGGACTTCACCCCGTGGCCAACTGCCCAGGGCTGTGTGGTAGCAGCAAAACCCATCAGGAGACAATTCACAAAATCACCTCGATAGGGTGAGCATCTTGACAGATAAAATGCAGATGGGAAAGAAACCTGGTACAGGCCTCTAGCTGCCTTCAGATCATCTACCTAGTGCTGGGAATTGCCCAGTAGTGATAACAGCAGCTGCTGGAAGCTGCTTTCTTTTAAACTCAGGTTGGATATTTAAGGTCAGGTGGCATCAATTGCTGCAACGCTGCAACTGAGCTCCTCAATGACTGGAGACACACCGTAGCCACCCCAGTCCATTTCAGAAACCCCAGCTCTTCCTGAAGGAGGAAGCACAGTAGTCCTTGTTACTTACATTGCTTTGGTATCCTGAGGGCCTCATTGTCAGCTGACATCACTTGGTGCAGAACTCCCCGGAACTGATAAAGCACTTTCAAACTCTTCTCCTCACCCACACAGGGGTCATAGAAACCCGGCAACCCAGCCTTCAAACAGAGAAGGACAGGCTGGGAAACAGTGCACAGGCTTTCACTCTTCAATGACTCTTAAAATATCATTAGCACCAGAATAAGGTGTCAAAAAAAGTTTTGTTGCCAATGAGATGAGAAGCTAAGAAATTATTTCCCCAGTGCCAAGAACGCAGAAAACACTGAACCCAGGAAGTTTCTGATGTACAGCCCCAAAATCTGTAACACTGTCCTATGCCATAAACACTGAGGCACTGTTTGACATTGGAAATGCCCAGAGAAACAGAAGTTCCTAGAGATTTGTGATACTTGTATGGAAAGTGGTATCTGTGAATTAACCTGGCACCCTGCGAGGAGAGCATACCGACTCAGAACGCTGAATCGCACACTCGAGTGTCTCAGTAGTGCTCTGACACCAGCTACATACCTTGGATGCCTCTGTGAGGATGAGCTTGGAGTCCTTCACTAAGCACTGCAAGGGCACAGTCACATCTATTACTTTCACCTTCTCATTCTTCCTGCTGTTGTCATTCACGAACTTCCCATACCAGGCATTCACTACAATCAGACCTGCATTTCACAGGAAATGACAAATGCAATGAGCTGTTTCCCACTGACAGCTGGGCAGACACGGATTAAAAGACCACCCCAGCACCTTCTTTTGCTTTCAGTGATACTTGAACCCACCTTGACTCAACCCACTCTTTTCAAGACAGAGGAACATTTATACCTGGGTGTTTGCTAGCAGTATTTCAGCACTAAGACAGAATGACTTGCCTTCGACATCACGCTGATGTGACAGGCCAAGCGAATGCCACTTCACTTTGGAAGATTCTCATGGTTGTTGCTCACAAGCATTAATGCTCAGATTTCCATTATAATCTAAGAGCAAACTGTGCAGATCAGAGGTCAGCAGAGCACAGTCTTTCTCCACATGCCTATACCCACACTTCTCTTTTGTACAGAGAAGCAGCCAGACTTGCCTACGTCCTGCTGATCATCTTGCAGCCTTTCCTAAGACAATATTTGGTGTCCCTAAGTGCAGACTCCAGATGAATCACAATGGAATTTTCCCAATATATGCACAACAGCAATTATGCCATGCTTCATTAAGAGTAGAAATGAAGCAACTGCATTTTGCATTTCTCCCCCTCAGCTACCCAGCCTTTTTATTGCTCCTTCCTCCATCCACATTTATGGAGCAAATAAATGGCATTATCATCTTTACCCATTCTGGCTTCCTCTGCTTCAATTATCCTCCGGACAGATTCTTGCATCAACCTAACCTGTAACAACACAGGGGACAGAGTAAAAATTCAGCACTGTCAGACACTGAGTCCAAAAGAGAGAAGCCAAGTAAAACCAGCTTCAAGAGGGATTACTTATGAGAAAGACTTACTGCAGCTTCTGCCTCTTGCTTTTTCTGAAGGATGTCACTGGCAGTACTTTCCCTTTGCTTCTCCAGCTCTCTGGCATAAAGGAGTCAAAAATCACATCAGGTCTACACAACAAATGGGATTCAGCCAAAGTGGCAAACGTTTACTAATTCACCCCAATTATCACTGTCCCACATTATCACTCTAATGAGCTGGGCTTCAAGGTTCTTCCCCACCCTCCAGGGGATTTCCATAGCCTTCCAGCAGCATTAACACCATGCCATGGATATCCCAGCCTTTGAACCAGACTCCCAGAAGCACTCCATCAGGACTTCCCAGCTCTGTACTACAAACACAGCCTTGCCAGCTCACCTCTCCTTCTGCGCCCTGAGGTAGGGTTTGATGATTAGCCTGTGCATGGCAAAGTAGACAACCAGGGGTCCCACAGTGGCATAGAATACAGCACTGGGAAGCAGCTGATCTGTTAGGTGGACAGGGAAGAAGTAGGTCTGACTAGCCCTGTTCAACCTGGAAGGAGTGAGAACATGAGGACAGGTCAGAAGAAATGCAGAGTTCTTGGTTAAGTACACAAGCAAGGTAAGATGATTGAGTCATCCCAAAAACACGAGGAGCAGAACTGTGAACTTTGGAAGAACATTCATTTTTGAGAAGTCTCGACAGCAACATCTCAGCAGTTCCTGCATCCCAGCCGCCCTCTGCCGGCACCAACTCAGAAATGCAGCACAGAACACGAAGCCTCGGAAGTTGGGCATCTCTGGGAACTGCCATATTAACAAAGCATCCTCAGTGACTCAACGATGGCAATTCACCAACTGAAGCACATAAGCACGCACAGTGTTTCACAAATGGAATGCAATTAAATACATTCCTTTAATATATTTTGAATTCTTCCACCCTTTTACTCATAATACCCCAAACTTAAAGCTGTACTTTCAGAGTATTTTGATGCATACACACAGTCGCCCTGTAAAGGTGGTTCAGGCTCAGAATAACACGAGCAGAAGGCACATTTTGCTTCAATAGGCACAACATGCCTTACAGATGAGGGCAGCTGCAAACCCTTACACTGGAATATCAACATACGTTTGCTCTAAGATAGGAACCCCCTCACCTGAATTTTTGAAATACAATAATGTAAGTTATGATTGGCCTCTACACTCTACAGTTATAATCTTTAACTGACTTGATTTTCAAAGACACTCCTTGGGGAACACCAACGCTGACGGTGGCTCCTAGGATGCTGTGTCTGGAAATCTTCCTCTCTGCTCCATACTCCACAATGGTCCCAAAGAACCCTGCCCTAGAATGAGAGAACAGATACTGCTAAGACTCAGAAGACTTCAATTTTTTCATCACTGAATTCTCTTCATGTAATTCCCCAACCAGTAAAACACACAACAAATACATTTGTGTGGGGCAGATGCTGGCTGTCAGAAGATTCACGGTGCATCTCCAAGATGAGAGCAGCCCTTTCAGTTGGTAAACCAGTTAACAGACCACAGAGGCAACAAGCATGTATTTTACATTCTACTTAACTGGAGAGACACACAAAGCTAAGCCTCCAAGAGGCTCACTTCAGTCATTAACAGATACAATTAAAGAGAAGCAGGTTCCTGAAGAATACAGAAGTGCTCAATTTGTGTGGAACCCAGAAACCTACAGCAGCAGGAGGTAACAGATTGAGCAGTGTGAATTCCCACCTGACACTTACTTTAGAGAGCCTTTTATCCGCGTCTGATCCTCATCCTGAAACTTGTGCTGATAACTGACCATCATGAAGGAATGGGGGATTCCCAGCTGAAATACAACAGCAGAAGCTGAGGCTTCTCCCTCCCAGAACGGCACCAACGTCCCCTGCACACAGCAGCAGGATTCTCACCTGCAGAGCCACAGTGAAGTGGCTGGTTTTCGTGTCCCGGACAACGCTGGTGTTCATGGCTGACTGGAGGCCCCACCGCCACTGCAGGTACCCCATCGTGTTCCTGTCGAGGTTGCGGGCCAGAACTGTGGTGAGACCTGGGCGGATCCCACGGGACGAGAACTGCAGAGCACAGTTGGTAGTGATGAAGCTAGAAGAAACAAGCAAAGCCTCATCAGGATGTAGAGCAGACTCCCTTAATCTAGTGGTATTTAAATAGAAGACACTAACGAACGGAATAGATGCATTTCAATTAGCACTGAAGCATTACGTAAAGGCTAGAGAAGAGAAACCTTTTGCAGAGCAGAAAACAAGTCTAGAATTAACAGGAAAATGAATTTAAGAAGGTTAATATTCCACACTGAGGAACCAAACATCAATTTTTGACTATTTACCATCTTGGCGTAAGATTACGGAATATCTTCAGACCAAAGAGAGGCCCCTGAAGGTCTCCTGCTCCAAACTCCAACTGTTGAAATGCACAGTGATAAGCAGTTAGAATACAGGCTTTGTCAAGAGACAGAGTACTTTACAAGCATTGTTTTAATTCAGAAGTGCTTAAAACATCTGAATCAAATTCACCACTTATTTTAGTATCCTCTCCTTTCTGCTAATTTCTCACTGAGAATAACAAGTGTTTCTCTGAGCAAGGCTGTCAGGAGCAGAGGAAAACAGTTTCTGTAGCCACACAGGCAACAGGCACATATAGGAAAACACAGCCCTTGGGAAGGGCCCAAGAAACAACAGGTAACATTCTATCAGCACAAGCCAAGCACATCATGCATGGCCAAAAATGGGAACAAAAGAAATGAAGGAAAACTTTGGACTTGGGAAACAGATGTACCGAGTATTATTCTACTATCCAACACTGTGTTTGTTTTAGTATCACTCTACAAATACTGCTACCACCTAAATCTCCAGGAGCTCTCTTCATAGGGCATTCAAGAAAGTTTGTCAGCACTGCTACCCCTATCTTCTGAAATAGAAGCACACAGAGGTGAAAAAAAGCTGAAGAGAAAGTAGTCTAGATAGCTAATCCAAGCAGCCTGAAACAAATTGGGTACAATACATAACATCCAGCATTCTTACCTCTCCCCATCCCTTGGCAGATGTCACTCGTCTAAAAGCAAGATTAATTGATCCACCTCCGTTCCCATTCTGGGTAGAAAGGTTACCAGACAGTATTGCTGTGTCTGTGGAAGTCAGTGGTGCCTGAGAAAAAGAATACAGTGCTACTAAAATGATCCTGATTCACATACATAACTTCTATTCTAAGAGGACACAGCCAAAACTGCAGATGACAGCAGAGACTGTGAGCACCATAAGACAAGTATCAGCACAGCTGCATTCCTGTCATCCATTTAACCCAGGTGTTTGAGCCAGGCACACCCATATTAAGTTCTGTAGTGAGAACACAGCAAAATGCGAAATAAGTTTTACAGCAGCAGCTGCTTGTGACAGCTTTAATGAACTGCTAAGTCCTGATATTGAGCTGTAGTTCCTTCTATTCTCACTAATAGACTCAATTTCTCCAACTGTTTGGAACAAAGGGAACATTAGCCCTTTGTTTCCTGCCTATGTCCTCAAAATTGGATGATATGTTTTCATATACAAAGTGTCCTGCATTCACAGAGCACTAGATACCCACTTGGAATCACAATTCAGCCTCCCTGCTAGCAGGGAGCATTGCAGCATACAGACAAGCCATCAGATTCTGCCCTGTGCTCACACAAATGCATGCCACACATTCAACACAGCCCTGCTGGAACCCAGTCCCCTCCCACTCACCCTGGTTAATGGATCTTCCTGTAAAGAAAGAGGAGACCTGAGCAGTTTCCAGGTTCTGCTGCTTGCCCTCTACTGCCTCATGTTCTCAGACCCTGACCAAGCCGGCCACGGCGCCTGCCCTCCTTACCTCAATGGACTGGGATATGTGCATTTTGTTTATTTCAATCTGGGGAAAGCTGCTCCCTTGCACATCTTCATATTCTTCATCGTAACGATCAAAGAGGTCCGTAGCATCTATTCCAACACTGATGGTTCCCTAAGGATGAAGTGAAACAAGGTATTACAAGGTATTAACACACACCCAGCTTACTGAGGCTACACGGCTAAAGCACCCTCACACATACATTGCTGGTTTAAAGGCTGCTTTTCAGAATTTTCTTCTTCTGCAATTACATTCTCCATTCTAAACAGCTTTTTTTTTTTTTTTTTTAAACACAAACACTACAACACTTTTTTCCCCAGGAGGAACCAACTTGGAACATTAGCAAGAGTGGGGATGTTTGAAAAGAGCACCATCAGATTTCTGTCTGGGTCACACAGCCACGAGGGGCTCTGATTCCCCACAGACCTCCTGCACAGCACCACCACAAAATGGGCAACAACCACCTGCAGTAACAGAACCTCTGTGCACACAGGATTAACATCAGGCAGTTTGAACAAACGCAACTCAGGGTAGGTGTAAAAACATCCTGACAGCGGAATACGGACAGACTGAAATAAGAATTTGTTGTAAGTAAGAGTTTTTCCATGCTCACTCCATTCTAATAGAATTCTGAACCTTAGATTGCAGAGTTTGATAGGATTCAAACTGCCAACCACGTATCTGCTGTGAGGATTCCTGCTGTTTATTTCCTGATTGCTTGCACAACAAAAAACCAGCATACTTTAACACAGAAAGATGGGATTATTTCCAGAACTCTGGAATAAGGGATGAATCCTAATTTTCTTTATTTATTTTTTACATTTTTGGAAGGCTGCTGAATTTTAAATCAATTACACTTACTTCCTGTTTAAAGAAACAGGAATGGCAAATTACTACCATTTACACAGAAGATTACTTCTCAGGAACGACCTCCAACACCACCTTCAAGGAGTCTGCTCTCCAAAGGTAAAACTTCTTCAGCTGCAGCCTCTCCTTGCTGTGCAGTTCCTTCACAAGGCCAATGTAACAGTGGAGCAAAGCAAGGCTGCCAAGTGCCTCAGAAGCTGCAAACCCTGCACTGCTGCTCCAGATGCCTACAAAGCACACTGAGAAGAGCCAAAGAAAGCAAGAAGGGCCAGCCTGACTCCATGAGAGTCCAATCAGTGCACTGCAGACTGACTGATCAAACATTTTAACACAGGCGAACGCACATCAAAACAGAACCACTCCTCTCTTTTCTTCATGCTGTTCACTTCAGAAATATACAAGCCCAGGATCTTTCACAACAGCTGCACAACAAGGTTTTTTTTTTTGGCTTGGTGCTGCATTCAGCACAGAACCTCCGCAAGACTACAACTCTGAATTACAAATTTAGAGTAATTTAAACAAAGGTTCTCAAACTAAATAGTAGCCACGTTGAATTTGAATGAAATCTTGCAACTTCCTTTTTCACAACTATGAACTGCAAAACACTCCTCTCCGTGAAAATGGAGAAGTCAAAATGAAAACACCTGAATCCATGCATGAAAATCTACAAAACCAATTCAGATGAAAGCAGCACCTCAGCTGCCCCCAGCCCTGCCCTCTGCAGCAGGATTTCTGTTCAGTCGCCTTTTGGTGAAGGGAGCAGCAAACTCCAAGGTATTTTCCCTCCTGCCAAACAGGTGAAGTCACCTTCAGAGACCTATAGGTCCTGGCAAGGAAATTGGCTCGTGCACGAGCACAGGAAAAGCAGCAGATGGCAATGTTAAAAATATTCCCAGAGAACGACAGCACCCCCTACGGCACCGGATCATAGAGAGCAGCACTGCTCCGCACAGCCTCCCGGCAGCCACCTGCTCAGGCCGTTGAAAAAAAGGAAAAGCCTTCCCCAAGTGAGAGCAGCAGGGAGAGGCTGCAAAGCTCTGCTCAGAGGAGGGCTGCACACACGGCAAGCAACGCGCTGAGCCGCGCAGCAGGAGGTCGTGATGAGCTTCAGGACCATCAGAACTGTGATCCAACAGCACCTTTTAAAGTCACCTGCACTTAACATCCCTGCAAACATGAAACAGTTGTTCATGATGAAATCAATAGATGTGCCAGAGAAGAATATATCCTTCCTCCTCTTTTTTCCTGGAAGCGACACGTGGAACCTGGCTGGGCCCTGAGGAATCTGCATTTCTTAGGCATCGACCTTCTGCAGCAGGAAGATAATGGGACTCACTGCTCCAAATGGGAAGCAGTTCTCAAATCAAGTAATGAACTTTTCAACCCTTCCGCACAGCTTCGAAAACAAAAACAAAACTCTAAAAGCAAATAATAGGCTCAATTTGAAACCTGCCAAATTGCCTACATCTGGTTATTGCTCAACATTTCTGGTTAAAATGCTTTACTTTGCTGAAACCATTTTATAGAACTGACAAAATGTTTGAGATTTTAAGATAACTTGTGTTCATGTATGAAGAGATCACAGCTGTGCTACCTAATTCCACAGGAACATTGCCTGGAGAGACATTTCTATAGGCTGCCAATCAGCAGTTGCTGTAAGCACCCAGATGGCTAATTTTATCACAGGACACAGAGACCAAGGCTTGCAATACAGACACTTTTTTACTGCTCACAGACACAGTGAAATACCCAGATAAAGTGTTGAGCTGAAGTCACAGTGAAGCACTACACAGATAACCATGCCCCTCTGTGCCAGTGTCCTCCTGACCACAATCACTCATCTCCACTACAGACATTTGGACTTGCCCTATTCCGTGGCATCCAGAAATCCTTTCCTGGATAGAATACGTGAACAGCAGATATTTACATATCACCTTATGCTTAGCCACCCTTTCAGAACAAATAAGTTCCTAATATCTGTACGACTCACAACAGCTTGGTGATCTGCATTACTCAATTTGCTCTGCTAAGACCAGCACAGATTCAAAGTCTGTGCCAAGGAACACCTCAAAACATTACAGGTCTTCTCAGATGGATATTTTTCTGATTCAGTTCTAAACTCACACTTCTGTCCCCTATGAAAACACGGTGACTATAATGACTATAAAGACCAGAGCAACCTTCCAAACCAGCTCTAGCAGCAATTACTCAACCAGCAATCTCTCTGTTGGGTTACACGAGCTATGCTGCAATACTGTAAAGGCCCAGGCACGAAGCCAGTGACACAGAGGACCTCTTCAAGGACATCAGAACAGTACCAGCACCCGTGCTTGGGATGCAGGATCTTTGTACTTCCACCAAGCATTTGCAAGCCAAACAAAATTCAACGTCTCACTACAGTTTTGTTTGAAGACAGGAAGTTTATTTACCTATGTAGATGTCTGCACAGCTACCTCAGGGCTGAGAGAGGAAGATTAAGGCTCCCCACCATGGAGCATTTCTACCCTGCATGGAAGGAAAAGGCTTCCAACAGAGGTTTAAAAAAATAGGCACAAAATGGTTTCTGACAGTTTAAGAAGAAAGGAGAAGGATACAGACAAGAGGTACACTGAAGTGCAAGTATACGAGGTGAGTGCCAATGCAACTCTTTGATGGTATTGCTCACTGCATGAATCAGAAAAACCTTGGTTCTCAACAAGCTTCAAAACCTCAGTCGGGGCAATCCTGACAAAGGCTCAGGTTGCCTGCACATTTATCAAGCCAAGAGCCTGCTAGGCCATTAGCATTGCAAGCTACTGGAGTATTCCAGTCACAGCAGGTGACAGATGTCAGTCATCATTTCCACATCTCCCTGCCATCCCAGTGTTACAATGAGAACATCATCCTTAACACAGATCATTCCTAAACAGCCAAGATTAAGCAGCGAGGTGGGTCATTTAGGGTCGATTTATTGCTGCTCAAGCAGATAGAGATGAGGATGGAATGCCCAATGATTATCCTTTTAAGAACATGATGTAGCTTTCTTTAAGCAGGACTAACTGTGAAGCAGGCAAGACCCCAATCTTGTTCATGCTGATTTTGCTCACTGCACTGCAAGCACTCTGTAGTGAGAGGGAACAGTTATCTATCCAGCTGGTTTAGTAACTGCCTCATATTTTTCCTTTTCAAGGCTGCATCTGAATCTCTCTCCACATTGCTGTGACACTAGAACAATATTAAAGGGAAAAATTGTCAGGTTACTGCAAGGAGTTACATTTTATTTGGAATATTTGGATAGAATTCAAAACAATTTCAGAGTTAGGAATGCTCTCCTAAAAGCACTGAAAGATACTTTTGCTCTCTGATGTTTAAACAGAAAAAAAAAAAGGAAAAATTAATCTCAAAGATTTAGTTGTTTTCCCTACATTTTCCAGATAAACTGCACAAAGAGCAGCTCATTAACTGTGAATACCTAAGCAGTTATTTACTATAACCCTTCATTGAGGCTCATCACCCTTGCATTCCTAAACACTTAAGAACTCAGCGTTGAGACTGGCATGAAGTCTTTGCTCACCTTTGGATTAGTTCTCTGCTGCAGTCTTCTCTCTTCCCTCTCTCTCTGCAAACGCTCAAACTCCTCCCTGATTTCAGCTGGAGTTCTCTTCCTTTCCACAACCTGCTCCAAAAGAAATTGAAATACTGGTTGTTTCACTGCTGATGGAACAGAGGTCTGCTGACACTCAAACACGCTGCACACACTGCTCTGTTTCCCTACACGTTTCAGGGAATCAGAGCTTTAAAGAGGCATGGCTCTAATTAAGGACAGAAAAAGTACTGGTTTTAGATTTAGTTCAGATGAAAAAGATGAGATGAAGTGGGGATATTGGTGCATTTGTCCCAGCCAAACATGTTGCCTGCTATGCTAATATCCTAGCAGGGAACTCTGAATGACATGTTTTTTGTTCTCTGGTAAAAAACATCAACAAAAAGCAAGTACTCTGAAAACCCACCATGTTGCTCCAGAGGTGGAGGTAGGGAGAGGAAAATAAAAGAAACAAAACAAGAGTACTTCCTATCAGTGTAATGTTACAATGGGATGGAGACTACTGCAACAATAGTGGGGTGGCAAAGTCTTTGGCTACAGCAAATGAGAAGAAGCCCAAACGCAGCCACAGATGCAGAAATGAAGGGAAAGAGTTGCTTACCTCTGGAAGGCCTCAGGTACACAGGGATCTCCAGGAAGAGATCCCCTCACCTCCACAGCCAACCCTTAAATGGATCCTGGCTCCACCCCACACTCAGGTGTACCTGAGCTCTGTAGGATTGGCCCTACCTTCCTACCACGTGCTCCATCACTGCTGCAGACTGTGTCCTGCATTTCTGCTACAAGCAGACAAGTTGTTTTTTTTATTTTATTTTACACCTTCAAGGTGTCAGTGCAGCTCAATACAGCAAGAAATTCAGACAAATTTGGATTCAACCAATCCCACCAGCCATAAAGTACGGAATTTCTCTCACCTCCCATCCTTCCATCTCCAGTCCTCTCCTCCCATATATGTCATAGATGGCCCTGGTCTGTGGATCACTAAGCACTGCAATTACAATCAAAGAAGAATGATAACTTGGTCTTCTTAAATCACAGGCCAACAAAACTGTGTTACTTAGAATTCAGGCAGATTCTGGAAACTCGTTCTACAGAGAAGTAAGGGAGATATTGACAAGACTGCTTATAACACATAGGAGGTAAGAACCAGGACTCCATATTTTCTTCATTGCAAACTTACAATACATCACTCCTCTGATTTACAGGACAGAAAAAGGAAACAAAGCACTACTAAGTATCAGCAATATTATAACAACACAATGTGACAATATTTATTTGTACTTTAAAGAGCACAAAGACAAACCCTGCCTAGAAAGCCCCCAGGAAATTTTGGCAAACTCAAAGACTTCCTCTGACCTTCATAAGCTTGGTGAACCAGGTTAAACAGCCGCTCAGCCTGCAGCTTCAGCTCTGGGTCTCTGTGCTTGTCTGGGTGGTACAGCATGCACAGCCGGCGGTAGGCAGCTTTTAACTCTTCCTGAGAGGCCTATGAAAAGCAGTGCAGATGAATTAAAATACAATTAAGGACAATGAATAGAAAAAAGGACCGCTTTCAAGATCAGCCTTAAAAGAGAAATCTAACAGCCACTACATCCCATTACTTACACAAGTTTAAGAACAGACTTACACTTCACAGTAGGACACAGCTGCCATATAAGTCAACAAAGCATTCAGCTATGCAATCTGTGCTTTCTAAGTTATTTATAAGGTAGGCAATGCTAAAATAGGATGAAAAGTACTATGATAATAATGAGGAGGCAAAGTCCTCAGCTACAGCAAACAAGAACAAGCACAAATACAGAAACAAAAGAAAAGAGCTGCTTACCTTCAGAAAGCCTCACATACACAGGAAACTGCAGCAAGAGATGCTCTCACCTCCACAGCCAACCCTTAAATGAGCGCTGGGAAGGGAAGGAACCTGGCTCCACCCCTTCCTGTTGCTCAGGCACACTGCATGCACCTGGGCTCCCCTGGCTGGCCCTGCCTTCCCACCAGGTGCTTCATCTCTGCTTCAGGCCATGAGCCAGCATTTCATGTTACAGCAATGCTTCACCGCTCCCTAGCACTTCTGTTCCTGTACAACAAGGATGCTCCACTGTGCTGTGAGAATAGCAGGCACTTCACCTCCCTCAAAAATTGACTCAGCTGCCACAGATGGATGAACAGAACAGTAAATCACTGAACAGATCAACAAAACAAATGCGTCCTTCAGCATGAAGAATTTTAGGTGGCACCTGGCCTCATTCCAAAGGCAGAGATTTTGGATGGCTCTTTCGGAATCAATGGAATAACAGAGCGGACGCCTTCCTTTATCGCTCCCAGGAGACAATGGCAGGGCTGAATCGCCTTCAGACCAGGGGAGGCTCGGCAGCCTCCCCTTTCCCACTTCATTCCTTGTATTTCAGCACTATCTATCCCTCAAAGGGTGAGGAGAATGTGCAGTTTCTTTTGCATCTCAAAGCTAGAGGTTTGTTCCATCTCGACAGTCTGGAGTAGATGATGTCTCTGCATTTATACTTAATGTTACATTTCTGAAGTGATACGGCAGAAGTAGACCTGATGAATTTGCTACCCCCCAGGACAGCGAGGCAGCTACAGAACAGCTGCCTTCTTATTACTACTGTGTGCTTCCTCAGACATTGAATTTAAACTAGATTGAGAAGAGAGAGCTCTAAAATGACATTCCTTAATCAAATTAATGATAAATGGTTTAATGTGCTATTGATTACATAATAGAAATGAGCAATTTCATTTTTTGTAAATGCCACGTTCAATACAAGGTTAGATTGGGCCTTTCATCATCTCCGAATAGATTGGGTCACCGGTTCAATATTTCATGAGAGATAACCTCTTAGGAACCACTAAAGAAATACTGACATCATTTCAAATTGCAGTGAGATACATAAGCCAGTAATAACCATATGTAAGTTGCATTTTTATTACCAAAATTCTAGACAAAATTAAGATGTGTGTCACCTCCTTGTTTGGGCTTAAATGCCTTAATTTAGTGTTTCACACTTGCCGTGTTTTTACTGGATTGAAATCCATAGAAGATTAAGCATACAGACACACTGGAGATGTGTTGCTCAGTAGCTTGTTCTCCCTACCACGGCTGCAAAGCTCAGTGGTTAACCATTACGCTGAGCCCAGCTGCCCCCCCCCACAAAACTGGCTCAGCATTCAGCAGTGTTGCCTCATTGCATACCACTGCCATGCAGGACAGCATTACAGAACTTAATTAGCAAGGAGATAATTAAAAACATAACTACCCTCATCTGGAATTACTCTCTCAAAGATCCTTTTAGCTCGGCTTCAGTTCCCTGCTGTACTCAACTTGAATTTTTGTTATCTGTTGCAGTGCTGAAAGTTTGGCCAAGTTAACCTTTAAGCCTTCCCTGTTCATCCCCGGGCACTCACAGCGCCTGCATGCTTCCTACCTCACTCTTTTAACCTTTGCATCTGCACCTCGATGGCATTTGGGAGTGTGATTTACAAGGCTATTGGCTGATGTAACAGTATGACCCACAGACTCTTAACTGTGCTCGTGTTTGAGCTGCACAACACTCTTCAAAAAAGAACGTTTTTCTCTTCTGCACAATATTGGAAAGCTCTGTGTAAAGTTATAGTCAGAGATTGTTTCCTTCAGAAACACGAAAGGCTTCCATAAAGAAGACACAGAAGGCCACCCCCACGGCCAGAAGCACTGACGTCAATTCCCAAACTAATATTTTCAGAACCACAGGACGAAATTGCTTCTATGTCTCAAACTCCTACCATTCGAGGCAGCAGTAGCTCAATAAAAGCTTTCTTCATCTCTGAACGTTAACTGTTAGGGCTGAAGGGTCCGAGCAGCGCGGTCTGATTGTGCACACACTGCCGTGGTGAACCTGCCTGCAGCTCAGCACAGCACACACGTTCTGACCTCCTGCAACTCGACCAGTTATTGCTGGCACTGCGCGCCGGCTAACAAGGGGCTGCGCCTCAGAAAGGAAACCGGAGAGCACTGACAGCCTTTTATTTTTTTAATGCGAGCACATACGGTTCACACAGCCCTGATTCGAACCAGAATGAAGAACCAGAAAGGCACAGAAGGTCCATGCACACAGAGACGGGTCTACAATCACGCTGTCACGAACCCCGGGGTTCTCCCATCCATTCAAACGCGCTGCTTTTAGTACAGCGTTACCTCGCCGCTCCATCTCACGCTCAGCCCCGGGCGCTGCCAGCACAGCGAGCGGCTCCGAGGGCTGCTTTTGTACCAAAACGAAGGATCCCCCCTCCATCGAACCCCGGACGCCCCTCGGTGCCGCCCCCATCTAAGCGCCGCACGAGGCCGCGCTCCCCGCCCCGCCCCGCCATCCGATCACCGCCGCCCGCTGGGGTCGCTCTCAGCCGCCCGGGTCGCTCCGCGGCCCGCCCCAGAGGCGAGGTCAGGCACGGGGGGTCGCGGCCCCCTTGCGAAGCCGCGCGGCCCGGCCTCCGCGCTCACCTCTCGCCGCACGTTGAGCAGCGCGTAGTAGTCCTCGTTGTCCGGCGCCTCTTCGCCCAAGGCCGCCGCCATCTTCCCGACCTCTCACCCCGCGCCGGGCGGAGCGATGCGCCGCGCCGTCCCGACAGCGCCCCCTGCGGCCCGGAGGAGCCCGACTACTGCGCGTGCGCGCGGGGCCGCGTGCCGGCCGGGCCGAGTGCGCAGGCGCGGGCGGGCCCCGCCCCGGGAGCCGTGAAGCGCGGCGCGCGGCGGCGGGCGCGGATCCCGCGGTGAGTGCTCGGCCCGGTACCTGTCGGGCGCCTCTCTCCTCGCGGTTCCCTTGTGCGTTGCGGTTCGGTCTCCGCTCCGGGGCGCGCCGCGAGGCGGGAGCGGCGCTCCGGGATCCGGTGCGGCGCCGTCCGTTGGCGGCCGTGGGTTGGCGGGGCGCGGCGGCCGTTCTCGGCATGGCGGGGCCGGGCCCGGGCTCGAGCACCGACGGGGAGCGGCGGAGCAGTTCGGCAGCGGCGCGACCCGCGGCCGGGCGCTGCGTTCCGCGCGGGGAGGGAGGCGGTGCCGCTCCGTGCGGGAGCTGCGTGGTCCCGCAGCGCTTCTGTGCTCGGACGGAGCTCCGGGACGCCCCTCGTAGCCCCACCGTGCTCTGACGGGAAGCTGGGTCTGCTTTCCCTTCCCGAACTGCGGCTGGCCCGGGTCGAATCGCGTTCCGTTCCCGTGTAGGCTCGGCACGGAGGCGGGTCGGCTGCCCGCCTGTTGGAAGCGTTTTTCCCACGCGGTTTCAAAGACTGAAGATGCAGAGACCGCTCCGGTTCCCGGGATGCGAATTGCCCCGGTCTGTAGCCGGACGGTTCGGGTCCGGTCCGTGCTACGCTGTTTCGAATGCCGCGTGGGAACGGCGTGGCTCGTAGGGATATCGGCGGCAGCGTGACTGGGAATCCTTGCCCTTGCTGGGCCGACCTGACGTGTTCCTGAACGACGCTGCTGCCCGCTGCCAGCTCTGCCGTTGCTTTGTGTGCATCACGGATGATTCAGGGGCAATTTCTGGGAACGGTCCACAGATGTCACATCTTGGCAGGGAAGCATAGGAAGAGAGCAATAAGACTTTAGTGAGCTAAATATGAACTGTGCTTTCTAAGCATCTGGAGACTTCTCTTTAGAACATTAAGCTAGATGGAGGGAAAGTAACTGCTGTAGGAAAAGGTTACAAAGGTTACTTTGGAAGGGGAAAAAAGGTATTTATTGAGCTTTTCCGAGTTGCGGAGTTCTGGCTCTGGGTGTGGAGTCTCTTGTCCACACTGCTCTGCAGGACGCTGGCGGTGCCCAGGAAGGCATCGTGGTGCTCCGTGGGGTGCAGCCTTTGTGATGAGAGCTGCAGATGCCAAGAGTCAGATGTGGGGTTTAGCAGCTCCTGTGTTCTCAGGTGGCTGCAGCTTCTGCCTGGTGCGCTGCTGTTGGAAGCTGTGAACAGCCTCACTGGTTTCTTCTTAGGTCACAACCTAAGGGCACGTTTCCCCCTCACACAGAACTGCTCTTTTAAGTCTGGACCATTCAAATCAAAGAAACTCTCATTATAATTTTTTCCCTAAGCTGTAATGTCTTTGTTTCTTTTCTGCTTATAAAGCATGTGCTCTGTTCAGAGCCTGCACTGAGAAAGGGATGCCACTGAGTGTAGTGGCAATGCTAAGTCACAGCCTGAAGCAGTGATGGAGCACCTGGAGGGAAGGCAGGGCCAGCTCAGGAGAGCTCAGGTGCATGCAATGTTCTGAGCGATGGAAGGGCTGGAGCCAGGATCCTCCCCTTCCCAGCCCTCATGTAAGGGTTGGCTGTGGAGGTGAAGGGATCTCTCTGGAGATGCTTGCGTAGCTGAGGCCTTCCAAAGGTAAGCAGCTCTTTTCCTTCATTACTGCATTTGGGCTTGTTCTCATTTGCTGTAGTCAGAGACTTTGCTACCCTGCTATTATTGCAGCGCTTTCCCTCCTATTATAGCGTTGCACTGAGCATCGCTGTGCTTAGCTTGAAGTGCAGAGTTCCCAAAGTAGGGTCAGGTGTTGGTGGGCTCAGTGATGCCCATCTTCCTCAGTCTGGTGAGAGTGGTCAGTGCGTGCTGGGCCTTGTTTGGCAGCTTGCTGGAATCACGCAGTCATCCCTGGAAATCTGCCCCCACACAGCGTTTTTGCTGATATTAATTTGGGGTCTATTTTGGATCAGTGGAGGGGAAAAGCAGAAGATGCCATCAATTTAGCTGAGCTTGTCAATGCTGTCAAGTTACCACCTGATTAAATTCCTCCCTCCTAATGATTACAGCCAATGAGGAGCGATGTATGCTGATGGGGCTTTTGAGCAACAGAGCCGGGGTCCAACTTAGTTAGATTTTAATGTAGTGTCATCTGGGGGCTCTTTGGCTTTAGTGAAAGGTGAAGCTTTGAACTGAGTTATTGCTCTGAAAGCAGACAACACAAAACAAAACGTCCCCAGATGTAGGACAGCGTGCTGCCCCTCTCCTGCAGCCAGATCAACGGCGACTGCTGCGTTTTAGTACAGGTCTTCCATGGCCCAATTTGTTAGTATTAGGAGTCCATAGAGATAAAGTCCTTTCACATATAAAAGATGCTATTGATTTTCTGTTACCGTTGTCCTGAAATGTGCACAGTGTGTCTATGGAGCAGTGACAATCCTCCATCACTAACTTTATGGGAAAAGAATGGTTATTGAATCTCTTCCCATAAAATATAATCTCTTTCTCTCTTCCAGAATTTGCCAACCCCTATGGGAGTCCCTCATGTTATCTCTTTGAGAAAATTGATTTTTTTGTCTCCTCTTTGTACAATTGTCTAGTTTTATTTTTAATTTGGCTCATGTGATTTGGAAAGGAGACTTTCCTAACATTGTGTTGTTTTCTGTGCTGTATTAATTCTGCTTCTTATAGACTAACACTTTCAGAATGCTATAAAATAAAACAAAGCCATTTGCTTGGCACAAACCTCTCTTGTTGCTGGGAGTTCTTTAGTCTGGGTGAGTCATTGTCCTGTTCCTTCTTTCCAGGCGTGTCTGGCTGCTTTTCAGCTGCTTACAGGTAAAATTGGGGTAAGTTTCTAGAGTCAGCACAGGCTGCTCAGAGAATTTAGGGTAAACGATGTTAGAAGAGAACAGAACTTGCAGTCCTGTCTGCTCGAGGAGCAATGGTCTTCAGACTCTAACAGTGGCAAAGATACTGTCAAAGTTGTCCTTTCCTCTGTGTAGCAGGTGACTGACTATGGGACTTTTTCCTTTCAGGAAGGAAACGGCAACATGAATTCATAGATGATGAGTAGGATGCCAAAGCCAGAGATGACAGTGCTCTTGAAGAAATGCTGGGTAGAACAAAAAGGTAAAAGAAACAGCTAATTGAGTGCATTTTGGAGCCTGTAGGACTTATGTTACCTTCCCTCATGAGGCAAATGACACATTCCCTCCAACCGTAGCTGAGTTTTGAGTTCCCACCTCCTCAATTTTGCATGAAGTTTTAGTGACACCTCACTCTTGACCTACTTTTTCTGAGCCAGGTTTTCCCCAAAGCTACGCTGTTCCATACCTACAAGTTCCCACCACTCACACGTGTGCCCTTGCATGTACGTTCTTGCAGATCCAGCAACTGTTTCATCCTACCCTGCAGGTGACACTGTCAAATTGCTCATCCTGGGTTGTTTGCTGCAGTATTTTGTGATGAGAACAAAAAAGAAATGAGATTAACTTGACCAGTTAATTTGCATCCGGCGCTGTTCTCCTCAGGTGACCATGCAGTAATTGGCTGTTCTGACTTCTGACCTAAGCCTGGGCAGATACACGTGGTTAAAATGATTGAAATGTCTCGCAAGCAAGTTGCCTCCACAAAGAGTGAATTGCTTGCTGCTGCTCTGATTGCTTTTGCTGTGTTTTGTGTTCATGTTGGTGAGGTGCTCCCAAGGAATCCCTTATTAGCACTTTGGTTCTGAGAAATTATAACCGAGGCATGATAGTCCACTTAGGCTTTGGGAAGTGGATTTAATCACACCTGCACAGAGCCATGGAGTAGAAAGGCCTTGGTTATATTTCACCAATGGCAGCAAAAGTGGTGGAAGGAACTGGCAGGGAACAAGAAAATCTTCACTAGTAGGAAATGTATAGGAATGACTTAAAGAAACCATTTTCCACTAATAGCTCTTTGTGTTTTGAGCTGTGGTCGTAGCTGGAAGTAGGAGTTTGTATTCCCTACCAGCTCTTCCATCTCCAAAATGAGTCTCCAACTTATCTCTAGCAGAATAGCTGTATGAGAAGTTAATTTCTGCTGTGCCAATGAAAATATTAATTGGGCTCAATATTATGTTTTATTTTTGCCTCAATTTAGTGGAAATGCTTTCCCATTTTTGTCAATAAGTAGCTCTGGATGCTATAGGATGTGCTGAAGTCCTTGCTATGTAGGAACAACAGCTGCTTCAGTTCCTTTAGTGCCAATGTAGTAGTTTGCCCTGTGCTGTTTGGGAAATGTAACCTATGCTTGAAATATATATAAACAATTTTATTGGGAATACTTCTTTTGTGGTTATAAGTGGTATAAGCTATTGTATGGTTGATATACACAACATCTAGTTTTTAATCTAATAACACCAGAGTTGAGAATTCGGGCGTTCTTAAAATATGAACAAGTAAATCACTTTTGTCATTCCATATTTTGGTAGATCTGATTGTTTTTTCCTTCTTGTTGTGCATGTGTGAATGTTAAGCTGTTGGAATGTTATTCAGCTGTTTGTATGAACTCTGATGTGAATCTGTTACGTGCTTTGAGGTATGACATTCTTCACCATTGATCTGTAACCCTTAATTGGAGTGTGGTCAGTGCTGACGTGTGCTGTGTCCGTGCTGCTTTCCCAGGGCTGTGACTTCTGGCTGCTCTGCTCCAGCCCCTGTGAAGCCGGCACCACAGCAGTCTGAGGCAAAGGTGAAGCAGGGGTGGGGAGTTGTCTCTCAGTATCTGCTGTGCTTCTGACAAAGAGCACCGTATACAGGAACTTTACTATTGATGCCATTAGACATTGGGTCAAGGAAATGCTCGGTGCTGCTGCTTTAAGGTGGCCAGTAGCCACTAGCTGTGTTCAGCATCGTCTCTGCCAGCTCTGGCATTGCTGCATGTGCTGTCAACTGAGCAGTGGCTGGAAGCTCAGATAGGACCAGATTTGGCAGCAGAATAATCACTTCTACAGGCGTTGTGCTTTGGATGTTGCCAGCTCCTCACTTCTGCTGTTTCCCAGCACGTGGTGCATTATATGACCCTGAGGACAGACAGCCTGCCGGGTAGCCTATAGATTTTAGTTTGTTTTCTCCCCTCCATCTTCTTAGTTTTCAGGTTTGCAGTTGGGGAGAACTGGGAAATATGCCTTCTATTTTGCTTACTCTCCTGCTTGCTGGGGCTGGTGACAGCAGTGGGAGATCACGCAGGTGGCACGGTTTGATAGAGGTGGTGAAGGAAGGTGCTTATCTGAGAAAGAACTGCGTGCAGGAGTTGAGAGCTGCATGCCTCCCCTCACCACTTGTGAGCATGCAAGACAAGAATGTGAGTTGCTTACGTACTTGGATCGTAAAGTTCACTGTCATCACTCTTCCGTAAGTGGTTTGTCAGACAAAATCTTTGTCATTGCATTTGAAGACCTCACCCTCACTGTCAAAGACAGGAGGTTGGAGGAGGAGCAGATAGAATCCTTCCATTTTTGGAGTGTTCATTTTCATGGGCTTGTCAGTTTTGAAATTGTAAATTACTGAGTATTAATAATCTGCCACACAACTTGTCTACTTCCAACTGATTTCATCCTTACTAAGGATACTTTTTTTTTTAGAGTAAAAGCAGGTAACTGTCAGAAAGCAAAGGTGTAGCAGAAATGCTAAGTCATGGCCTGAAGCAGTATGGAGCACCTGGTGGGAAGGCAGGACCAGCCCAGGGTTGCTGAGGTGCATGCAATATATTTGAGTAACTGGAAAGGGGGAGCCAGGATCCTCCCCTTCCCAGCCCTTATTTAAAGGTTGGCAGTGGAGGTGAGAGCATCTCTTCCTGGAGATCCCGGTGTACCTGAGGCCTTCCAAAGGTAAGCAGCTTTATTCCCTTTCTTTCTGCATCCATGGCTGCTGCACTTAGGCTTGTCCTTACTTGCTGCAGCCTGGGACTCTGCTACCCCTCTGTCATTGCTGTTTTCCATCACATTATAGAATTACAAAAGGAGTGGATTATTTTTCTCTTTGCTTGTTCTAAGACAGATAACACAGGATTTCCTGTAATAGATGATGTGTGTGCGCCCCTCGTGCACTGCTTTATGGGGTTGGTGTGGCTAATGACTTGTGTGTAATCAGAAAATAAGAGCTTTTGCAGAGTTAATACACAAGCAAAAAAAAAAGTACAAATGATGATCTAGAACATATTTCTTCAAATGCCATTGCACCTGGTGAGGGATGAAGAGTGTTCTCAGCATTTCTTAATCACCATTGTCTGTAAAAAACATAACTCTAGTGGGAATACCTATATGGCCTGAATGAAACAGAATGAGAATCTGAATAGAAGTCTGTGGAGAAAAACTATGATTTAGCCCTATAAGAAATAACTCCACAAATCTAGTTCAGTAAGGACAGAGTTCCAGTGTGCTCTGTTTTCTCACAGAAGTGAGCACTTTGGGATTAATTAAATGCTTTTTGTTCTCTACTGCAGTGTAACCTTTCTTTTACTCCTTTTAGGGCTCACACCATGTGAAAAGTCAAATATGCTGCCTGAAGGCAAAGGTTTGGGGTAAAATTATGTACTTTCATGAGACCAGAGAGATGTGATGTTTGTCATTGCAAAGCATGGCCCACGAGACTGGCAGAGCTCAAGCACAGCAAGTGCTGTCCAGCTGCAGCTGTGAAGGAAGGAGGATGCTCACGTGTCCATCTCAGTCCTGAGGGCTGCAGTGGATTGCAGTGTTGTGCCAGGAGCTTCCTGCTGCCTCACGTGCTTTGCTTAGATTGTTTCCAGGTAGCCACTGTGTGCTGGCAGTCCTGCCTTCGTATTGTTTGTGTAAAACGCAGTTGTTTGGATTGTGGTGGATTGTTGAGGTTAAGGGTATAATTTCATCCCCCAGATTTTGACCCGAGCTGTAAGGTTTTAGTGCTGAGTACACCATGAGTAAATGCAGCCTTTGGGCTATGCTTAAATTCACAGCAGACGTAGCAGGTCCAGACCTGAACTGTGCTCTTCAGGCTCATGGTCCAGGTGTCCACCTGTTTTCATTACTGTGCTAATTAATGTGATAAAATCTGCTCACTTTTTGCATTTTTCAGTTGATTTTCACACAGTCTGTTATCTCACAGATTAATTTATAGTTTTAGTATCTTATTTTCCTGCTTTTTCTTTAAAGCAAGAGAGGTGTCAGAATCAAATGGTGAAATACTAGGGCACGGGTTGTACTGCTTAATCAGAGATGGAAGTGGAAAGATGTCATTCCAAGAAGAAAAGCTAATTCTAATACTAATGGTTCTATTACCAGATTAAAAAAGAATAAATTTTATGCATAATCCTTTTCTTGAGGAGCACTTGTTAATTTTAGGTGTGTTCCCTTTCTGAGGAGCTGGTGGAAGTTGCTTTAAAGCTGATTCTGTGGTCCCTACAGGTGGTTGGTAGCATCTGATCCATGGCTGGTGCTGTAGCATTGCTTGGTGTTGGTGTTGCCATTGCAGTGGGAATAAGAAAGTTGTGGTCAGTTGGAGCAAGCTGTGAAATGTGCATGGCAGGCTTTTCCACAGAGGTAAGCAGGGTAAAGAGAAGGCAGTGGCCATCGTGTGGTGGAGGTTATGCTGAGGTGTGTGTTTGGAGCACGTGTGCTATTTCCCTTACACATAGTCCTTTAGGTGAATGTTAAATACGGACTGACACTGTCCAAAAAAACCTTATGAAGTTAGGTTTTTTTTTTTTTTAAAAAAAAAAGATAGTGCATATCACTTAGCACTGATAAGGTTCACAAACTTCATAAGGTTTTTTCACTTCTTAGTTCAATAAAAAGCACTGTCTGTGGAGGGATATCCAGGGGTATCCTGTCCTTGCCCAGCAGTTCTGACAGCATTCCTGCTTTTACCCCCATGCTGTCTTGAGCTGAGATACTTTATATAACATGGGACTCTATCAATAACTGGGAGGTTTTGTGCCCTGAGGCTCCAGACGGGCACCAGGCGATTCAAGTAGCTGTGCTGCCATAGCGCCGCTGTCAGCAGGCCCCAGTCGATTCTGGTTTGTGATACTGGAATTGTGCTTCCATTTGGTTTATCTATTCATAAATAAACATTTATTGTAAGGGAAGTTCCTTCTCATTGTGAATTTATAGCATGGCAGAATCCCAGTCTTGGCTGAGTCCCTTAAAGAAATGAGATGATGGTTTCAATGATAATGCTTCTTATCTGAAAACCTTGAGGATTTTCTTGTTCGTTAATGGCACTTCTGTGTTAGAAGAGTTCAGTTGGAGGAACTCTACAGTGGTCATCAAATCCATCTGGCTTACCACCGTGGGCCCAACAGGAAGACAAAGCATATTATAGGGCATTATTGTTGTGTGTGCAGAGTAAATACCAGCAGTGTGTGATTGAAGCCTTGGTTTGATAACTGCAGGGCAGAGGCCGGGTAGTGCTGTCATGGAAGCTCCTCGGGAGCAGGCTGACTCAGTTCAATTTGACTGTCTCTGGCTTTCAGTTCCTGAATCCACGTGGCTTTCAGCATCTTCTGCCTCTCCACTACTGTCATCAGTTTTCCTTCAGTTCTTTTTGTCTCCTTCCATTACTCATTCTTCTGTTTGCAGTGCCTGAGGCTGACACTGTCATACCTTAGTGACTAAAGTTTGGCTCCTAAATCCATTTTTATTCAGTTAATACAGACAGCAGACCAATTTCAGAGGAGTTAAGTCTTGGAAAAGGCATTTAAATAAAGGTAGGAACAGAAATTTAGTCGTACACCTTGAGGGATTTGGGCTTTGAACATACTTCCCGTTGTGTTTGCTTCAACTGTTGCTGGAGATACCAAACTAACCTGAAGATTACAGCATCTTGAAGATGGTGAGGAGAAAGTAACAATTGCAGAACGTGCCCTTTTCCTCCAGTACTGCTGTGCTGGCTGAAGGATTTACTCTTGGTTTTGCTTCTCAGGCAGCAGAAGCATTTCTGCAGATGACAGGTGCTGGATGCAGGAGTGAGAACGTTCCCAGTAACAGCCAGCATATGCAGCTTGTTTCATGGTGACAGCTTTAAAATAAATAAAATGTATTCCTGGATGTACCTTATTGAAGGCCACCCTAAGATTATAAATGAAACCACTGTGGACGGCAGTCATATTACCTCCTTAAACAAAATAATTTGATTGTCTTCTTATAACAGAATGCAAAGAGAAATGTCCCGAATATAGCGTAGGAAATTGTCTTTACTAAATCTAGCCAGCATTTATGAGCCTTGTATATATTATTAGATTTTGCCAGAATTACATAAATAGGGGGAAAAAAACGTTAATATAAGTTGACTACCAGAGTAAATCACTGCTTAATTATTTTTTTCTGGCTAAAATTAGAATTTGATATAATGGTCAATAGGCATTTTCTTCAGTTTTTTGAATTGTCATGTCTAATGGTTTGTCCAGAAGAGCTGGAGAAAGTTGCAGCAGAATTGAAAAAATAAA